GCGGTTCCTAGCTCGTGAGTTTGGGGGGAGAGAGCCAGTTTCAGATGTTAAGGCTTCTCTGTCCCCTGCCTGGATGCTGTGTCACCTCATGGACGGAGAGACAGCCTCCTTCCCCGTCCTAACTTATATAGCCCCTGTGACCTCATTCACTTGGTCCAGCGGAGGTCAGCCCCCAGTTGGCTGTCAGTCAACCAATTTGAAATGCATCACCTGTTACCGGGCAGATTCCAGCTCCCCAGGTAGAAACCCCTTACCCAGGTAAGTGATGCAAGTCACGTAAGCAGAGGGAGCAGGTTTCGCCCCTCTCTCAGGAATGCAGCCAGCTCCAGTTCCCTAAAGAGACAGGCTGAGGGTGTGGTCCCCTGTGTGCTGGGCCCATCCTAATTGAATGGTCACAGCACAGAGATTTAAATCGCAGTGTCACAGGGCAGAGATTTTTGGGGAGAAACCAAGGTGGCTTTCTGCCACAGTTTCTACCTGCTGAATCACATTAAAGCTTTATATAATTTCCAGGTCAGAAAGTCCATAATACCATAAATGCAGATACCAAGATAATGATACTGAAGACAAAGCTAAAGTCTTAAATTCAAGGAAGAAAAAAAATAACTTCATCAAACTCTCATCTAGGAAAGGCTTTTGACACATCAAATATTTGCAACGGAAATTAAACTATGTCAACAAGAAGTTTGTTTCTTGAACAGTGATCATTACTAAATGAGTGATATTACTTACGGTAAAAGAAAGGGACAAACTCCACAGTAAGAGAGGCTGGTTTATACTTCTGTCTGCTCTTTTCAACATTACTAAGAATTCGTCTACAATTAAAAAATAAAAGATACAAAAGAGATATTAGAGATAAGGTTTTTGGGACATGTTCATAGAGACTGAATAAATAAAATATATTTTTATCCTACAAGAAAAAAAGGAAAGAATAAAATAGTCTCATCCAAAAAAATTAATCACTGTTAATCATGTATCTACTGCTCCACATTTAAAAATGGCTTAATTTTTTAAAATATGGTTTTGATTTAAAAAAGCAGTAATCTGTTATTTTACTTTACTATTGCCATGAATCATTAACTTAAGGGCCAAGCTTCTATGACAGGCAATCTGACATGGGAAAGAAAATTTTGGGGGAAAAGAAACAGTTCAACTTTAAGGAAAACATGATTTTTTTTCCTTTTTTTTTTTTTTTTTTTTCTTACCTTCCTCCTGCCAAAAAAAAAAAAAGGAAAAAAAATATTTTTTTTTTTTTTTTTTTTTTTTTTTTTTTCTTACCTTCCTCCTGCCAATACAGAAAAAATGGGTCATACTTTAGAATCAAGAAAGTAATAATGAAAGTTTGAAGTGCATTAGTTGGTGGCAAGCTCCCTCTAGCTTATATTCAGATTTAATTTTAAACACATGGGCAGGCAACCAGAATACGTATTTGCAGTTATAAACAAATCTTATTTATTCACATACCACTCACACCTCTCCCTCAAAAATCATGCCTTCCAAAACTGGGGAAATTCATTTTCTACCCAGAACAGAAGCACTGAAACACCACAAGATGCCTGCTGCTTATTTTCCTTCTCTTCCAACAGAAGCAGTTCCAGACAAGGTGCAATGATATAGCTGCACCCTGCTTTGATTCCTGCTCTACCAAAAGTTTAAAACTAACTATCCAAAAGCAGCAGTGGCATTTCTATTCACACAGCACTGAGAGGATCAACTGGCTTAATAGCTCATTATCATGTATCTGATTCCTGCTAATTGCTCTTCACTGTAAAGGCGATAACAACCCTCTCTCCTTTTTAATGGCTTTGATGTTCCACTAATCAAGGTAGCCTTTGTTCAGAAATTTTGTTATCTGTTAGCTACTCCTGGTCCCTCTCTGCCAATTCTGCAGCTCTGCAGACTGTTAACAGCTCTTTTCAAAATCCTATATTTGTCCATGCAATCCAGCCTTCAGCAGCAACTGCCACTTCATCTTTTGGCTGAGCAGCCAAGAGCTACTGACAGTTCAGCTGTAAAAGGGTTAAAACTGTGGCTTTTGCCTGAGCAGTGAACGGACGGTAAGTTGAAAATTAAACTCTGTCCCTGCTCTGTGCACACTGCACTCTGGAAAAACCATTTTTTCCTTCATTCTGACTTAAGACACACAGCTTGTTTTTCACATCTGGGATGTGTGTGTGTGTGGGGGGGGGTTGTTTTGTTTTGTTGGGTTTTTTTGTAAAACAAGTACTTTCAATTAGATCTTTACTACAGTCAAATGAATACTGGAATAGAAGCCAGAGCACATGGCACTGTTTCTACAGTATGTGATGTTTATGACTCATCATGAACTTGTACATCTTTGTTAGATAAATATTAGGCATTTAAAATTATATACATCTAAAATGCATTAAGCATAAACAATAAGATACATTATAGCTAAGACAGTGTTACAAGAGCAAAACGTTAAAGTAGTTTATATGGAGAAAGACCCTAGTGAACTGTGGGCAATCGTGCCTTGCTGTGTGAAATCAGAATCTCAACATCCTCCAAAAATACAAGGAGCACAACTTGTGATGTACGTTTTTTTTAACATTGTACACAGCAAGTAGTGCCACTATGTGATTCATCAAGATAACACTAATTAATTAGGATACTAAAATATGGAACTATTTTAATACACTTGCAGATACTGCCATATAGGTTGCATAAATGATAAGAAAGGAACATCATCTGTCTATATTAAGAACATGGATTAATGGAAATGTTATTTTATTATATGTATGATTATAAGAGTGTGTGTGTGCATGTGTGTACGTACATACGCACGTACACACGGACAGAATACACACAGAGGCAGAGTGAGAGAGTATGTGTGCAAGTGTTAGTGTGTGCACAAGAACACAAGGGAGGGGTAGTTAGCCATGTCAGTCTGAAGTCAGGCAGAAGAGAGTCTGTAAGGTGCCACTCTGCCCTACCTGGTTCAGAGAGGCATAAGCTTTTGTAGGCAACAAATGCTTGTATTATGAAGATCTGATAAAGTTAGGCTGTTGCCTATGCTAACTTCTGCCTCTCTGAACCAGTTAGTACCACCTTCCCCTGCCTTTTATATATGTAATTATATCAACATGTCTATTATGCACATTCTTAATATGTAGGAAGAGGATGCTAACCTTCCTTTTTTTTTTAAATCATTTATGTAACCTTTCTGGCAATCTCTGCAAGATAATCAAAACAGTTCCAAATTTACATACCATAATTAATTACGTTATGTTGATGAATCTCACACACACACACACAAGAACACTCAAGTTCTTCGGAAGTAAAAAATTACTTAAACAAAAAATGAGATAACTGCTCCTACGCAGTAACCAGAATTAATGACCACTGCTGTACAACCTCCTTCACTTGAAATAGAACAGATTTAAAAAAATAGTCCTGTTCAAGGACTTTGCTCAAGTTTCACACATTCATTCTTTTTTTTTTTTTTTTTTAAAGAAATCTCACAAAGGACTTAGAGATGAAAATTAGAAATCTTTCTTTTAAGGGAAGTATGATAATACATATTATTATAAAGAGTCTCAACTGATTCAACCCTCCAAGTGGATTTAAGGAAGAACACTACTAATTACAATAAGTTATCAATATATAAATATATATATATCTGCAAAAGAGAGAATGCACATGGAACAAGCATCTCATATACAAATTGAGGCAAAACCTACATTTGTGCAGCAGTTTAATCAACTAATTAAATACCATATAAGAATCATTGTAAAAGTTTACAAGAATGTACTCTTTAATGCGTATCAAACTGTAGCTTTGAATTGCTACCCATTTTTTGGCCAAAATGATTAGCAAAATATTTAGGGCCTTGCTTGTTAGTTTCCGTTAGGAGGAGAGACTGATCACACAAGTCAGGTATTTCTCGAGTGTAAAGTGTTTATTTGCAAATCATTTACACAATTTTCTATTCATGTACCCACTTGAAAGAGGAGCAAGTAATTTCTAGGCCTCTCTCTTCTGTGTGCCCCCAGGGGTTCTGTCCCCCTGCTTTTTCTGAGGTCCCTACTACACATCACATATGTTATGCAATTAACTGGTTAATCACGCAATCAAATTCAGACCACCCACATGAGCAAAAGAATTGGCACACAATAAAAATGAGTATCCATCCAGGTATAAAGTTAGTGCTTGAAATTGTGTAACAACTCTATAGTTGGTTTCTATCCAGCTTTAATTTGCATGTGTAGCAAGGCCCTCAGGGCCACTCTTAAAACAGCATATTGGCTTTCTGCTTTTTACACTCACAGATGTAACCAATTAGTACTCTAGCCCTTGCATTTTGCAATTAGTTTCAGGGTCTGAGTGTCTGAAAAAAATTCCAAAACAATAGAAGGTGATAGTCATACAGTATACAAGAACTTCAATATTATTGTAATGAATATCCCAATAGTGCCACTATAATAAACGGTATCTATTTCTACTTTGTATATATTCAACAATAATTCATATATATTTAAGCATTTTTAAAAATAAGCAGAGATCCAAAAATATTCTGATAGCATGATTCTCTCCATCTACATTTTCAAATGAAGCTATGAGAGCAAGTATAAATTCTATCCACAATTTTTTTACTATTCCAATTATTTGAACCTAGCATAAAGAAAACCCCATTAATCTGCCATAAAAATGGTTTACAGAAATCCTCAGGTCTGGATCCTACCTATCTACTCTCCCCAGCTTTCAAAAATTAAAACTGAGTTTTGGCTGGAACTGGATATATTAGTAACCTGACATTTTTAATAAATTAGGACACCTGCTTCAAATGAGAGATTTTCTTGGATTATACAGTCATGTTTTCAGTAGAAATACATCTTTAACCAAGTCAATTGATATCAAAACTAATCCTCCATTTTGCAACTGAAAAATGCAAGAGCACAGAAGTTTTGGTGTAATTGTGTTTCATTTTGGCTTGACACTGGACAATCCCAGTTGTGCTTAAACTCTTAAATAACACCACAGTGACATTTTAAAGTAATTATCATAATATTGAAATTTACCATGTTAAAACTCATACGTACCCTGCAATTCTCTGTCTCCAATTTCGATACGGATCATAGAGACTTTCACAAAAAGCCAGTGCATGTCTTACAAATTCTTCTATAGGTGTTTGATCTGCCACTTCTTTCTCTTTTGTTTTACTTTTTAACTGAGAGGGGGAAAATACAGAATTGGGGTCATAATGTTTCTAGAAACTTTTGTGAACTGAGAATCCAATAACAAAAGTTACATTTAGGACGCTCAAACAAACCAGAGAGTACTGGGTGTCCTATTATCTCTTTCATAGGCACTGGAACATCTACCTTCTTTAGGCTCCTTTGAAAACCAAGACCAAGCATCCATTCACTCTATTTTCTGATATATGCAATACAGAACGTACCCTCAGAACAGGTACCAACTCAAAGGTACCATTTCCTCCATGAAATATATTCATAAGAGCCATCAACTCACTTGATCCATAAGGAAAACAATGTTAAATATTCCCTTTCCAAAAAACTTAACAATGGCTGAACTCTGAACAGGCAACAAAAATTAAAGTACCGAGATTATCTCTGAACTAAAAGAGCTAATTAATTTCAAAATAAATTATTTAGCTTATTCACCTGAAACATACTTTAGAACTATTTTGTTGTGATTCATTTTCAGATACCTATAAAGAATAATTGAAATATACTTGTGATAGCTTAAGTCTAGGGACAGCTACATATAAATATGCAATACCTGATCCTCCTTTTCATCCTCTTTAATGAAATCTGGAACTTACCAAAATTTCTCTAATTAATTAAAATGCTCTGAACTTAGTATTTCAAAGCACTTTGATGAATAAACCTTGCTGCAGAGTGTTCCATCAAGGTAAACAGGCATCTCCATTAAAAATGTTAAGCCATTTTAAAGCCAGGTAAAATTAGACAGAGAGGACATGCAACTGACTGCAAGTCACATAAGAACTTTGTGGCAGAGTTCAGAAAAAAAAGATCAGTTCTCATAGTTCCCCATCTTAAGGCCTCAATTCTCCTTTCCCACCAACCCTGTCATCCACAAATGTGTATGGTAATTGCACTTGTACATACCTGCTGAATATACAGAGTAGTCATTGTGATGACATGGTTTATGTAGGAGCACATCCCAATCTCCTCCACATTAGCCAAATTTCTGTAGGAGCAATATCAAACTCAGTCATTTTTATGCTGTAATGCTTTTTAAAACTAGCCTCTAATGCTTATCTTAGCTTTTAAGAATAAATTATAAAGAGTGTGTCCATATTTCAAGAAAACATCTACAACAATATTTTTTAATATTGAAAAGTTTATTCACCTCACTTTAATATACTATAAGTATTTCAGAGCTGGAAGACAACTTAAGTACAGCCAGAGCTCTGACCACATCACTGTAAGCCAGTTTTAGCTGGATGCCTGGATTTCAGGTTAAGCTGATTTACAGAGCATTCCAGATACAGCGCTCAGAACCTGATACAGAAAATAACTTCTATTTCTCCCACATTGTTAGACACCACAAGAAAACTAATGACTTAACTACTAATGGTTTCTAGACCTTGAGCCATGTCCATTATCAGTTTCCATTTTTTTAAAGGAAGAAAGGCAACTATAAAAATATTTTTAGAACACTAAATAAATCATGAAGATAACAGGAAACCACATTCAATACGGATGATATACAAACATTTCTCAACCTAAATAACAAGCCACTAAAATCAGGAACTCAAAATGAAACGCTTCAGAAGATGTTCCCTCTTTTTTTGAGGGCCATTTTTAAATAGCTTCAAAGGCCCCTGAAGCACTTCAAACAGAAGCTCTGTCCATGGTATTTGTTGGGAGAAAAGCAAGACCAAGGGGGGTGAATACCCCCACAAAAGAAGATTTTTTGCCTAGACTATCTTAGCCCCTCAACAGGTTCCAATCATGGGGAGATACTGGAGGCAACAAAGAACCTGGCCAAAGCGACTTCTGATCTGGTAAATATCCCAGGCCTAAGCAGTGTGGCCATATGCCTAATTTTCAACAGGTCAGTCCTGTTTTAAACAGCTGGTCCAGGAATCTTATCAAAGGAATGCTTTTGTTTCATTTTCAGTGGAGCACCCAGGACTAGTGTTTTAAAACAGGAATGTTTCATTAACCCCATGTTCTCCAGCCTGCTAAGCTGAAGAAAGCTCAGAGAAAGCTGAGCATCCCAGACAATACGGTATCCTCTGTTGAAACCAGGGAAGGGAAATATGGTCACCCTGTCCCTAAGGGAGTGTGCAAATTAAAAGAACTCTGTGTCAGTAAGCACTATTAGAAATAACTATGTCCACTAACATAATTTAAGTATAACAATTTACAATTTAGGAGGAGGGGACTCTTAAAACTTTATCAACACCGACATGTCTATACTAGAGAAGGACTGCACTAAAATACACCACAGTGATACTCAGCCTGCCCTGTCCACACATGCTATACCCCAAAATAATAAAGCATAGGTACTATTGAACATATATCAACAACTCTCCATGTCAGGTATATTTACTGACATGTGACCAAGTACTGCACTAAAGGCATCTGCATTATAACTTTTCAGGTGTGGCATATAGAGCATGCATGCCAGGTAATACTCCCTAGTCCAGTCCTCTGATGGCACATACATGCCCCGTACATGCGTTGAAACCTGTATCTATGCATGTGCAATAAATCAAGATTTCCCCAACCAAAATTACAGTCCAGTCAAAACAGCCACCAAACCAAACAGATACCTGCAAAGGATGATGAAGAATTTGACAAGCAAAAGTGACAGAGCTTGTTGCTGCTCCTCTAGTCCATCTGACATTTTTTGGACACATTGTAGCAGCTGGAGCCTCAGGACCTGCAGAATGTTATCAGGAAGTAGCGATATTCCCGGAGGAACGTCATCTACCCTAAAAAAAAAATATAAAAAATGTTAAACATGTCAATGGAATTTGTTATTTGTGCATTCTTTGTGTCATTGTGTACTGTTCCACAAGCACAGCAGGACAGGAACTCACCAAACTGCAATGACTGGTCATCCACAAGCATTTGCTGATAATCCACATAGAGCTAAATGACTACACAGTACTTACTGGCTGGCTCCTCCTTATTCCCAGCTGTTGACCTTAATGGAAAGACAGCTAAAAATACATGAAAATCATTTCCCCAAGGGGCTTTCCTAATATTCCTTTTCCATGTAGTTAACTGCTGGAGTTGCAACAGGAAAGCTGCATCAAGGGAGGTTGTCAGTAAAGCCCAAAATCAAGGTGAATGTAATCCCCAGTATATTTTCTGTAATAAGATATGGACCCCATTGTGAACAGTTTTGGAATGCCTGTTGAAAATCAAAAGAAACCTAATTAGATATTAGTTACAGAATGCTACTGAAGACCAGAAATGTAATGTCTACAACTCACCCCTGGTCCTCTTGGGAAGAACGTTTCTGAGCACACCCCAGCGACCTGTTCCTGCTCCAGCCCAGATATGAAGTGGGAATGCCCCACATAGTTGCTCTCAAGCATGCTGGAATCAGACATTTCAAAAGCAGCTATGTGGGGCATCCCTGGAGCAGTCCCACTGCCATACTTCCCTGTTTAAATTTGCCTGAGCAAAAACAAGCAGGCAAAGCATGCTTGAGAGGGTCTCTCCACAAAAGTACTGAGGATGTAGTGTAGCTCTACGTTAACTATCCAATGAACATGGTCTCCCCTACTTGTACATGATGCAAAAATAAGTTTTATGTTAATACTACATCACTGAATATTGGAAAATAAAGGGTCTAGCACACACAAAGCTCCAACAATCCATTTGACTCTTGGCATTTGACCAATTAATAACTGCTACCCCATCATTGCTATTTTCTGGGTATCATTAAGACAGGAAATAGATTTGCTCCTCTAATTAGTTTTACAAAACAAAGAAAAGAAACAGAAAATCTCAGTACTGTGGTGCTGGCACAAAGTACAAGGTGTTCTGTTATGCCCAGGACTCACCACAGAGCACGTTAAGCATGATCACCAATTGGTCTTTCTATGCAGAAAGACTTCTGGAGAGTATCAAAGAAAATCAGAAGCAGAAGGAAACGACAAAAATAGCAGCTACACCAGAGGACAAAATACTAACATGGAGAAAACTTTGGTTCAAAAGCATCTTAGAAATGTTTAGGTGGGCTGAAGCAGTAATGCATTCCAAGGTTAAAAATGGAGCTCCTTTTGGCACCATATAATGGCAGAGAGAGCAGTTTTCTGTACAAGAGCCACTCTTGTCTACTCTTCCAGCTGGTGAAAAGGCACTATTTTGGTGTCAGCTGTTTGACTATGATAGGACAATTCAGGAAAACATGGTAAATCATTACAAGAAAAACAGAGGGTGGGAACAACCAAAGGACCCAGTCCGTCACAGCCTTTAGTTAAATCCAAATGAAGAAGGGATAGAAACCATCATTATCCAAAACCAAAATGAAATCCTGAAGCGTGAAACAGCATGAAGGAAAAACAACCCACATTTAGCTCAAAACTGCAATACTTAAAAACAAAATGTAGCACTATTTCAGGGAAAAACAATTATCAATTTTATTTCCTAACACTGAAAAGTTACCTTCTGTTGAGGAAAACTGTATGTGTATATACACACACACACACACACACACACACACACACATACGTATGTATACATATCATCCCCCCACCCTCCCCTGCGCGTGTGCGTGCGTATATAAGTGGGTAGCGGTGTCCCGCGGGGTCAGTGTTTGGTCCAGTACTTTTCAACATCTTTATTAACTATTTGGATGTGGGGGTGAAGAGCTCACTGCTCAAGTTTTCAGATGACACCAAAGATAGGCAACAGATACAGGCAAACCTAAACAGGCTAGCAAACTGAGTGGATCAGAACTTGATGAAGTTCAGTACCAAGAAATGTAAAGTGCTCCACCTAGGGACGAGCAACCCCTAACACACCTACAGGCTTGGCAGCACCAAACTGATTAGCACCACAAATAAAAGGGTCCTGGGGGTAATAATAGACCACAGTATGAATTTGAGTTGGCAGTCCGATGCTGTAGCCAGTAGGGCAAATAATACTCTGGCATGCATCAATCGACGCATTTACAGCAAAACCACAGAGGCGATTCCTCCACTCTGCTCAGCACTGGTGAGACCGCAGCTGGAGTGCTGCATCCAGTTCTGGGCACTGCACTTTAACAAGGACGTGGACTAGCTTGAGAGAGTCCGAAGAAGAGCCACCCATATGATCAGAGTCTTAAAAGGCAAGTCATATGAGGAAAGGCAGAGGGATCTGGGACTCTTCAGCCTGAGAAAAGCAAGGCTGAGAGGGGACCTGGTAGCAGCTTACCACTACACTAGGGGAGTACATCAAGGGCTCAGTGAACAACTGTTCACCAGGGCACCCAGGGGAAAACCATAAGTAATGGCCACAAACTCCTGGAAGATTAAGGTTCAACATTAGGAAAAACTTCTTCGCAGTCAGGTGTCCACACTACACCACCTCTGGAGAGAGCTTATTCTACAATCACCTACCCTGGAAATCTTCAAGAGGAGACTAGACAGTCACCTTGCTGGGGTCACCTGACCCCCAGTTATCTTTCCTGCTTGGTGCAGGGAGCTGGACCCGATGATCTTTCAAGGTCCCCTCTGGCCTCACACACACACACACACACACACACACTCTAATATTATAAAAGCCTACGTATGTCTTTCTGTACGTAACACTTTATTCGCGCTCTGATTGGCTGTCTCAGCAGCCAATCAGAGTGCCTTACACAGACACGGGCAGACAGTGGAGTGGGGTCTGAGGGGCCAGAGGGGACAAAAAGTATTCCACAATGAAGCTATGACAAAGTAATTTTTTGGTAAATTTCACAACAGAATTCATGGAATGGTCACCAAGCATGCTTGCTATATGCTTACAAGCAACTAAACAATAACCATACTAATTGCATTTTCCTACTGTGAAACACTGGCCCACGTGAGCTATAGCTTGGAGAGCTAATGACTTTCATTCTTTCCAACTGGTCAACACCCCTGGCTGAACTACATCTTCCATGATCCAGTGTACTCCTTCCCTTTTGTGGAGTGACAAGATGCAGTGTGGGATGACTGGAGGACAGACCAGACCCACCACACAGAATGCTTGGTGTCCACATGTAACACATACCTGGTTCACAATACACTGGTACAAAAGAATAACTGGCTTTCCAGGTATATTTTACAACTGTTCCAGGAGGCTTTAAACCAGTATAATATGCTTGTATGTCTGCCCATTTCAGGTTTAAAATGCATATAGACCAGTCTACATGTGTCCATGTTATAGTAAAGCACTGTCTGTAAGGTGCTAAGGTAAAGACTGCAAACTTTTTAGCTGCTCAAACTGAACACGAAGAACAGGTTCATTTAAAACTTACAAGATTCCACCCCCCAACAATTATAAAGCAAGTACTTAGCATATCACTACAACAAATTCAACCTTCACATCTGTGGAAATGCTGTACCAGCTTTTACCAAAAGAATTATCTCTGTAAACAACATATTCCAAACAGTAATTGGAAAATATTTTTTAAATCTAATGTTGGCTTAGAAATGGCAATTAAAGGGTTGTTTTTTTGGGAATTGGCTTATAGGTATGGATATATACATTATAATGGTTCACGATGGGCAGCAGGGACTAACTGATTTCTAAAGAGCTTGGGTCTCATGCATAATGTTACTCACAGCCCTGGAAGCAGACAGGGTGTCTAACACAACAAGGCCAACAGATGGACACACGGCCTGAGAACTCTGAGGAGGAATGCCGTAACACAAGATCATAGCCTTCAAGCAAACAGGTTGTCTCAAACAGGTTCAAGCAACAAGGACATACAGTCTGGGAACCTAGGGGGTATGTACCATACTGCTCATAACACAAGGTAAGTGCCACCAGCTAACAAGGCCCAAAGCAAGGGGGGGTGGGAGGGGTGAGTCCCGGTTTTGGGGGAACAGACCAAATTAGGGGAAGGCCTGGAAGACTACGTGGATGTGTGACCACAGAGAGAGACAATCAGCCAGCAAACAGCCATGGATGAAGTCATCAGGAGTCATCAAGAGGGAAGGAGAACACAAAAGCAGAGACTTGAGAGTAAGAAAGGGTCTCACCCCAGGTCCCTTCCTCTCTGTCTCGCCCTGTCTCTCCCCATCCCTTCTCCTCCCTGTCCCAGTCCCCGGGAAGGATCCCCAACACCATGGATAGAGGGCAAACACCAACAGCCCATCTCATCCACCCCACTGGAAAGGGGGTGTGGGCCTCTGCATCCCACCTCCAGAATCCTGATGTCTGACACCTAAGAAACAGCCTCAGCGTGAAGACTGCATCCTGTCCATGTACTTTGACTCAGATGACAGGCCTAGGATTTGATAGATATATGGCATTGCTTAATTGTTTGTAATGCTTCTTTTCTGTTATCACTGTGTATCAATAAATTTGCCTATTATCAAATGGAAAGGTCATGGTCAGTCTGAGGGATAAGGCCTCAGGGTCCTAAATCCAAAGCCAATATCTAATATTAGCTGAGGGGTTTTTATTCATAATTCTGTAATCACAAGTCAAAAATACAATAGGCACTTCAATCTAAAGTAGTTCTTAGGGCTGTGTGAAATGGCTGTATTTCGATTTAGTTTCAGATCTGGCCATTTCAGAGGACAGTGATTTGTTTCGGTGTTTCGGATCACTGTCCTGGTTCATACCTCCGAATCTGTTTCAAATGGGCTGCAAGGGAAGCTTTGCACAGCCCTACCCAGCTGGGCAAGACTCGGCCAGGGGCTGCAGGGCCCCAGTGGGGAGCAGGATGGGGCCATGGGTGGCTCATCCAGGGGAGCGGGAGGGCCGTTGCCCTCCATGCAGGTGAGGAGACCCCCACACA